GCGAGGTAGGCCAACGAAGAGTTATAAGTGGTGGCAAGTTGAGCTTAGTCGAGTGACTACAAGATTATAATTGATATATCAGGTACCATCACTAGGCCTGGTAGTAGGGGAGGAGTTGGCCTTCATAGCTATGTATTCTACCTACCCCAGAAGCCCTATTGTGTTGTGGGCACTCTTTCCGATAACATATGTTATCCTGATAGCAACAGACCAGATGAGGGGCAGCTGGTATCGTTACTACGCCTGGTTGAACTATCTCATCTCAATGACTTTAATAGTATGTCCTTGGACTGCATTAGCGATAGGCAGGTTCCTGGTAGGTGTTATCGATTGGGATTCCCGGCTATCTCTAGGGGAGCAGCAGAGATTATCAATGGCACGACTATTCTGGCACAGGCCTACCTTTGCTATCTTGGACGAGTGTACTTCGGCGGTGAGTATTAAGATGGAACGAAGGCTCTTCAAGTTATGTGGTCAACTTGGTATATCACTTATTACCATATCCCATCGTCCAGCACTGCATGAGTTCCATCATCATATGGTTACACTGGATGGTTGTGGAGGGTGAGCTCTCCCCTGCTACTAAGTACGGTTAGCCTGCTATCGTTGGGAAGGTATACTATAACGTCTATCGAAGGGTCCACAGCTCGCAATGCACCTTTCAAAGCATCGCAGTCCTTGCAGTCCCTCCTCCAAACAGGCGCCTTACCTTTTACCGAGATTGTCCGTCGGTTCGAGAGTAGGGTTGACCCGTTTCCATGCCTCATGTGAGTGCTCTCTCCCAGAGACTGGATCCCTACAACAGCTAGGTAGTGCTATGACTACAACTAACCAGTCACGTGAGAGTAATCCGCATGGCCCAGGTGAGCTAATACCTATGATGAGTGAATGTGACCACATTCAATTGCCGCTGGTGTAGGTTCCCAGCGTAGTAGCCTTACTACACAGACTACCGTCAATATACCACGTCTAGTGAAGCTCCTGGGTCCCATTGATAGGGCTCAAGGCGCGAGGTTGATGGGGCTTTTATCGGTCATCATTGGAAGTGGGATAATAATTGACGCTAGAATACCTGACCATATGGATATTAGGAACCTACGTTAGTAATAGGATAGCTCATATCAATGGTCATGCATTGAGGTTGCTAATGCAGAGGAAGACTGTGGATTTCTATGCTTTGGTATGATGATCAACATGATCACGATGCGGTCGAGCATGATGTCAGTCTATGTTAGGTGGTTAATGCCCTTATGATGGGCCTCATTCAGGCTGTTCTCACTCCTCTTGGTGATATCATTGAGGCTGGCATTGCTGACCATTGGCGGCGACAACTCACGAATACACTCTCTAAACGGTAGGTGGGGTTGTGTACTTCACTTTCCCATGTACGTGTAGGTATTTCAAGGACTCCACCTTCTATCACTTGGTATCGCCAGCTGGCGGCTGTGATCAGGTCATTGTGGAGGACGTCCCTAAGGTGGGATACATCAGGGCTTCCTGCCATTCTAAGTGCGTTCCTCTTGATAGTTGGCTGAGGCTCTGGCAAATATGCTCAGTGATACACTAAAGCCGCTGGTGGATCTGGGCTGGTTTAGTGCTGGTGTCTTCCAGCTTACGGGTAGATATGAGGAGCATTGTCTTGTTAGTTATGGTAATGAGCCTACCACCCCAGGCACCACTGGTCTGTCTTCTTTATTGACCTACATCATTTCCGGGATGGTGTTCCTTCGTCTCATCCGTCCTGATCTTGCCGGATTGACGGCCAAACGAGAGGAGCTGGGTACCGCATTTTCATTGTGTTTGCCGTGGGAATATGAATTGTAGATGGGGCCTTCTCAATGTTCCATGGTCGACTAAGTCAGTGTGCTGAGTCCATCGCCTTCCTCGATGGTGGTGCTGTAGAGTCACGGACAGCTGATAAGTACTGATAGAACGAGTCATCCAGGTCATAGGTTAGTGGATATCACTCAGGTTGTTGGCGGCTAAGTTAGAGTTCCAACGTACCTCCAAGAGGCTTGAACATTTCTACGGCATATTCGATTTTTTCATATCCCAGATGGTACCCCAGAACGCATCTTGGGTGCTCAGCCTTATGTACCGCCAAGGCGCTGGTGGCGTTGAAGGAGATGAGTATCTGAGTCATACACTGAGGTGAAAATCGAAATCGTTTGGGGGTTGTGGCTGAGCACTTGTTAGGT